ACAACCCCTCCCTGTGCAAGACGGGGACCGGGACTTCGGGCGTCCCGGTAGCATCCTTCTCGCGAAGGAGGCTGACCGCCCGGGCGTATACCGAGTATACGCCGAAGTCGGGAGAGCCGTCTTGCACATTTCCTGCCATCTTTCTCTCTCTCTCTCTCCTCTCTCCCTCCCCTCTGTCTGTCTCTGTCTCTGTCTCTGTCTCTGTCTCGGTCTCTGTCGGTCTCTGTCGGTCTCTGTCTGTCTCTATCTCTGTCTCTGTCTGTCTCTGTCTCTAACTTCTCTGTCTCTCTGTCTCTGTCTCGGTCTTCTCTGTAGCTGTCTTCGCTGTCTCTGTCTCTCTCTCTCTCTCTCTTTGTCTCTTTCTCTCTCTCTCTCTCTTTTTGAGACTGTGTGGGGCCTATGTGGCCCGTCTTGGGGCTATGTTTCCCATATCTGAGAGCTAGGGAGAGTCATCTTCGCTGTCTCTCTCTCTTTGTCTTTTTTTTGAGACTGTGTGGGACCTATGTTGCCACATCTTGAGGCAATCTTGGCTCATCTTGGGGCTATGTTTCCCATATCTGAGAGCTAGGTAGGGTCATCTTGCGGCTATGTGCGACTGTGTGGGGCCTATGTTGCCCCATCTTGGGGCTATGTGGGCCATATCTGAGACCTATGTTGAGTCCTCTTGAGGGCCTCTGTCAGATCATCTTGGAGCACATGTTCCGCCTTTGCTCTTAGCACGTGCCCGACACCCACGAAATGTCGATTAAGCCTGTCCGCGCGGCACGCATAACTGACACCACGGGCACCCTGTCGTGGACGCCGAAGGCCACGAAACACTGTAAAAAACGATGTTTTTGAACATTTTTCGAACATCCAGCGCAAGATACATAAAAATCTGTCGGGCGGATTTGGGCGGGGGTCGACACGGGGTCTCCCCGCGGTCCAACAAAAGGGTCGGCGGCAGGGGCGGCGAGCGTATATAACCTTCGGTTACCAACCGAAGGCCTCCGGCAAGGACACGGGCCCGTGGCCGGCGCCCGGATTGTAAGGGCTTCGCCCGGGCGCCGCCGACCCCTTTTCAAGAGGAGTGTAGCATGTGTAACTGAAGGCGTTAGTGTCGTTCCGGTGGTTGCCCGTCTGCGGAAAGAAGATGGGTGTTCTAGCCTTAGGCGTGGCCTCGGACAGGCTAACTGTGGCCTGTGCTAAAGCCCACAAAGGTGGAGATGCCAATGCCAAGGTTGTGCCCTGCGAGGCGCCGAGAAGCGTCTGAGGGGGGGCCGTCGCCTTCGGAAGCCTAGAAAAGAAGAGGCTGGCCTCGGCTGCTAGCACCGTACGTGGCAGCCCAGCCATGCCCAGGCTGCGTGGCCTCGGACAGGCTAGCTGTGGCCTGTGCTTAATTCCTACAAAGGTGGAGATGCCAATGCCAATAAGGTTGCGCTCTGCGAGGCGCCGAGAAGCGTCTGAGGGGGGCCGTCGCCTGCGGAAGCCTAGAAAAGAAGAGGCTGGCCTCGGCTGCTAGCGCCGTACGTGGCAGCCCAGGCCATGCCTAGGCTGCGTGGTCTCGGACCTGTGCTAAAGCCCACAAAGGTGGAGAGGCCAATGCCAATAAGGTTGCACTCTGCGAGGCGCCGAGAAGCGTCTGAGGGGGGGCCGTCGCCTTCGGAAGCCTAGAAAAGAAGAGGCTGGCCTCGGCTGCAGAGGAAGGTCGTCCCTGCTCGCATTCGCAGACTCGAGTGCAAGCAATGCCAGCACGAACGCGCCTCGAAAAAGCGAGTGTTGGATGGAAACATGAGGGGTGACGAGCAAAGGAAGCTGGAGCAAGCAAAGGCTGTGTTTGCGACGAATGCGGTGAAGTACCACGTCAACAAGCTGCGGGCGCTAGACTGGGCACGCCAGCACGGGCAAGCGGTCAAATATGCCATTGCAAAAGACACAATTTCCAGCCGGGCGTTGCAAGAAAAACCGGACTTGGGCAAAGACAAGGTGACGTGGCTGCAACGTCACGATCAGGACTGTGGCGGGCTGTACGGGGTTTTGCCCTTGTGCATCGGCATGCCGGTCACGGCAACCGATCACTTGGATCGCCGCAGAGGCATACTGAAGGGATGTCCGGGCACAGTTGTTGGATGGAGCTGGCATGAAGCAGCGGGAGGGAGTACGACACAGATTTGGAATCAGCTCCCGACCAAGTCAGAGTGGCGAGTGCAGGGGCTGGCCACGGACAACGTGTTTCCGGTGACGCTCCAACGGCAAGCGTGGCATCTGGACAAAGGCCGAAAGCGGCCCATGCTGCGGGTGGTGCGACGGCAATTTCCGTTGGCGCCCGGGTTTGCCACGACGGCGCATGCAGCGCAGGGCCAAACTTACGCAGAAGGGGCAGTCACGGACATGCAGATCGGCGAAGGCGGAGACCCGCTGACCGCATACATCGCTGTGACGCGAGTGAAAGATAGACACAGGTTACACATATACAGACCGTTCGATGCTGCACCCTATCAGAAAGGACGCAGCGTAGGGAGAGCTTTGCTGTTGCAGGCCTGGCGCGGAGAGAGCATTGACTGTGCAACGTTGCGCATGCGGCGCCGCGAGGAGGAAGTGTGTCGCGAGCGCCACGAAAGCAAACCCAGAAGCGGGTACAGCGCCGGGCAATGGAAACGGGACGCGGACGCACGTGTGTGCAGAGAATGCGTGCGTAACTACGCAGCCAACAACACGCCCTGGCAATGCAACAGTTGCAAGGCATGGAAGCACGAAGACGCCTTTGCAAGAATGTACGCGCGCCCCCAATGCACGTTCTACCGCGTGTGCCAGACGTGCGAGGCACAGAAGCGGTGCTACAAGTGCGGCACGGCCAAGCCGGAAAGTGCATTCGGGGCGGCCGCGTGGAAAGGGCGCCATGCAGACCGACGTGTCTGCAGGGACTGCGCCATGAAAGTCAAGGGTGCGTGGCGCTGCGCCGTGTGCGCGGAACGTAAGGCGCGCAATGACTTCAGCGCCTGGTCCAGGCAGCGCGCTGCACCGCAAGACGGAACGCAGCGTTGCAACGCTTGTGTCCTCAGCGCGGCCAAGCGCGCAGCAGCGCAGCGCGCAAACAACAGACGTGCGCGGCGCAGAGGACGGCCTGCCCGGGCGGATGCACGGGTCTACAGCTGCCACGGGCAGCGGTTGCCACGAAGTGTCGCGCATAGAGCCATACGGCGCCTGGCTGCGACGCGGACGAAAGTAGCCGAAGAAAAGAGACAGCAAGTCATAGGTCTTGTACGGGAAGAGATCGCTGACCGTGTGCGACAGAAGCAAGCCGAGGATGAGGTGCTCTTTCCCCGGGCGCAGGAGCCGAACCGGAGAGAAGAAAGGCAGATGGCCCAAAGCAAGACGGAAATTGAAGCAGAAAGTGTCTCAACAGACACCAAGCCGTCGCGCAAAAGACACATGGAACCACCGGCAGTGCTTGTAGCGAAGCGTGCAAAACACGTGTCGGTGAGCAGCCAAGTGCGCACAGACCACAAACTGCAAAGAGAACAGGAAAGTGAGAAAGGTCTAGCTCCAACCGAAACCCAAACGGGCACAAACGCCAAGGCCAGGACAGTGCCGGCGCCACAACGAAACAGTGTAACAGAGGGCGGGCCTACAACGCAAGACGATGAACGCGCAGACTCGCAGGCAAGACCGCAAGAAGATACGCAGGCCACTGCGAGAGCCGCAAAGAAGACAAACGCAGCGCCGGCAAAGTTGCTCGGACGGACAGCCGGGAAGGAAATGTTCCAATATGCGTGTCCTTTTTGTGAGGCGTCGGTGAGCAGCAGCGTGCGCACAGGCCAAATAGATCACCGCCGGGCGTGCGGGAAATTTTTTCGTGTCAAAGACGGAGACGTTGCCGCCAGGAAGTATGACTACGTTTGTCCATTTTGCAAAGGGCCCGTAGCAAGCAAAGTGAAAACAGGGAAAATAGATCACCGCACCGTGTGCGGCAACCAGTTTTACGTCAAAGAAGGCGCTGTTAGCGCGCAGACACGCCAGCATCCGCAAAGGTGCCCCGCGTGCCACAGTGTGGTCTGGTCAACGCTGCTCTTTGGGCGCATTCAGGCCACACACAACACACCGTCAGGAAAACAATGCCCGACAAACAGCTGGCGAGTTCCGGAGAGCAAGCACGACGCGCCGAAATAGAGAGGCCGCGGCAGGCCTGCCAG